ACACAAAGTTAAGAGTAAGTAACTGAGGACGTCTCAAACGTTAGTCCCATACAAAGCGGAAGCAAATGTACCCTCTGGCCCAAATTTTACTTTGAGAACGTCTTCACAATAAGATATGACATCCCATCCAGTGAACTATATGAGCATATTTTTCAACTTTCTAATCCAAGCAAGCATTACGTGGTGATTGCTATTAACGATACAATTACAAAATACAGACCTGTTCATTCCTGGAGTTGCCAGTTCTACCCCTTTTCCTGTGAGATTGAGACTGCGGAGATGGAGACCTCTTATCATGCCTATATTTGTGGTCTTTCTTCTCGTAGTTATGCATTTTGTGAACCTCAGAGCTCAGAAGAGGAGGAATCTCAGAAGCATTAGTTGGCTGGCTTCTCCATTGTCTACTACGGCGACCACCGTGTAATTTATCAGATCGTCCCTTTTCAGATTCAGAGTCCGTTTGCACAAGTCCTTTATCCTCATTCTGACTACTTACCACCATAGTAGTTTGCTCAACGTGAGAACTAAAGTATTCATCCATGCTTTCAGCCAGATGATCCCACAACCTGCATATATAAATCCTCTTAGTGAATTCGAATTTCTTTAAAGAGATCTTTTATAGTAAACTTTCGTTTGACAAATATAAGAAACATTTATCTACCAGGCCACAAAAGACTCGGTATTGTCTCCAAGAAATATTATTAATTCCTCCTTTGCCTCCTCTTTCCGTCTCCCGTTTTTAAGCAAGACTATCACATATTCCTGCAAGCAAAACACTTGAGTGTCATTTCAATTCTAAGTTCTAAGAGACTTCTAAGAATCATCACAAGAGCATTAAGGCGTACAGTGAAACTCAGAAATTCTAGCTAACAAGGAACACGAATAACACTGTCAAAGACTATAGCTTGCAATTCGAAACAAGGGAAGCGAAATCAGTGTAAAATCACAAACCCAAAAACGCACAAAATCCCAAATTTGTGAAAGGAAAACGAGGGATTGAATCAGAGAGAGGAAATCGTACCACGAGAATGTCATCTGTGTAATCACCCATGTACTCCTTCAGTTTATCCTTCACTATCTCTTTCAACTTTGCAACTCCTTCCTCAGTGAAATTACCATTGAAGGTCCGATCATCGACCGGATCGGCGCTTCCCATCTCTACTGAAATTCCTTCGCGAGATTATATCAAAAACCTAACTCGCCGCCGCAATGACAGAACAGAAAACACCGAATCAGTATAATTCTCACGCCGCTAAAACCCTAACCTACGCGCGAATCAAATTCGAGAACGGAGATAATCTTCCAGGTGCGGTTGCTAGGGTTTGGGTTTTCTGTCGGAGAAATCCAGAGAGCACCGGGTCGACAGACGAAACGAATTAAGATATTATAAAGTGACAAAATATAGAAAATTAAGAGTCCCTAACTCTCTTTTATTTTATAAACAGAAAGTTTGTGCTCAAAAAATAAACATGAGGAATTAATGAGTTTGATAATTGGGTTGGGCCCAAAATGTATTAGGTCCTCCGGCTTGTAATGGTTTTTCCATTTCTGGTTTGACGAATTGTAATAGTTTTTTTTATTATTTGTTGTTAAAATGGGTGGGCAAATT